ATCTTTTATAATTCTTTTTCGGCCAAAATTACACTGGAAACCACGTTTCACACTTCGTCATTTCACCAAGAACACATCTCAAAATGAAGAAATACATTTCCACGTATGAACAAGCAAGGAAATTTATTCTACATGTATTATGAAATTTACCGGCATTTGTTACGTGCGATGTCCTTTTCAGGTAAAACCGTCAGGAAAGAAAACTGAATGACCTGATTTTCGCTATCTGATGAAAAGACGGCGTTTATTTTATCACCACGCAACTATAGCTAGACTACGATAAGAGTAATAAATTATCCGTGACCTAGCGTAATTAGCCTACTGAACAGGTAAACTGTGCCGACACAAAGGGAAGTATGCCGAAGCCGTGACTACGAAGGCCCACAACGACACTTCCACAGCGCGCTTCCAAGGTACCTTCCATAGCGCGATTCTGCGAACCTTCCACAGCGCGATTCTGCGAATCTTCCACAGCGCGATTCTGAGAGCCTTCCACAGCGCAATTCTGCGAATCTTCCACAGCGCGATTCTGCGAATCTTCCACAGCGCGATTCTGCGAGCCTTCCACAGCGCGATTCTGCGAACCTTCCACAGCGCGCTGCCAAGGGACCTTCCACAGCGCGATTCTGCGAACCTTCCACAGCGCGATTCGGCGAACCTTCCACAGCGCGATTCTGCGAACCTTCCACAGCGCGATTCTGCGAATCTTCCACAGCGCGATTCTGCGAACCTTCCACAGCGCGCTGCCAAGGGACCTTCCACAGCGCGATTCTGCGAACCTTCCACAGCGCGATTCTGCGAACCTTCCACAGCGCGCTGCCAAGGGACCTTCCATAGCGCGATTCTGCGAACCTTCCACAGCGCGCTGCACGAGGCCCTACAACCCCTCCCCTATTTTAGCGGACGGTCCCTTATAGCCAGCTCAGATACTGTACAAACGTAATCATATTTCAACCCCTTTTAAAAGGGAAATGATTTATTATATTAAGCTAGTACGAATTTGTTGTCTTCTATTTTCTTTTCCTAGCGCACTGGACCAAGGATTCTTTGTAGGCTATTCTCAACTTTTTTTTTACTTTGTGTGACTCAAGAAATATAATTACTAGTAATAAAGATCATAGGTCTAACATGACATTGTTTTTTATCATCTCTTAATCTATTCAGCATGAAGAGTATTCTTCCCTTATGGGTTACCTGTCAGAATGTCTGTATCATAGAAAACTTACAAAAATGAAACACTTCACTCTTTCTTTTACAAAATTTTATTGATCCTTACAAATAACATTTTGCATGATATGAAGGTGTATTTCTTTAATTAACACTACTAGTAGGTTTAATTGATTTTTTTCTTGTTTGAAGCTAGAAAGAAAGATTGTAAATGTGACCTTTTCTTGGATAAACGAGTATTGTCTTTACTAATGTCACTGTTAGGACTTCAATTAGTTATATTTCTTTTCGTACACTGCTTTGTTTTTCCACTATCTACAGCTTGAACTTTCAAACTTGAAACATGAAAATCCACTACCAAAGCATTGTAACTTGTAAGTAAAGTTCTGATTGTTTGAAATAAATTTCTTCATGGGCGTTCAAATTTAAACATTCAGATGGTAAATACGATTTGTACCATACTTAAACTTAGAAACTGTGGTCCTCCCCAACAATGTATAGAAATTGCTTTACATTACAGAGGTGGTATCCGTGATGTCATTTAGACATTGACAGAATCTAACTGGATTAATTGATGGCTGAAATTAATAACCGCAAAGATAGTTTGCAAGATTCAATGTTCCATAACATCAGACAAGTGTAGTTTGTGTCCAAACATCTTTGTTCCTTGAATAATACCTACTGTATCCCAAATTACTATTTTCAGGAACCGTTAACGTTGTGTTTTAACATTATTGGTCTTTAAAGGTCTTCC